GATGGCCAAAGAGTACAAACAAATTTGGAAGTAATAGAAATATTGGGCATCTTGAATTCATGAACAGATCAAGTCGTATACCTTAAATATGGAAAGTTTGTTGTATGTAAATTTACCTCAAGAAGATAATAAAGAGGATAATATCAAACTAAATAAATAAAGCATGAATGAAGAGGAAATTGAACTGTGAGGTGTACAGGGATGCGGTGGAACGCTTCTATTCAGAGGCGCTTATCACAAAGCTAGACAATGGTCCTGAGAATGAAATATCTGAAAGGGCTTATATGCCCCAACTTCCTCCTCCTGAGTGCAGCAGTACCTGAAATTCCCACCAGTGTTGTCACCTCCTTCAGCATCCCTGGAGACGGGCACTTAAACTGAGTGTACCCATCACGTTATCTCATTAGCTAATGCCTCATTTTATTTACACTGGTGGCTCCCAACCTTTCCTCCCAGGAACCCTAAATTAGACACCAGGGAAATTCTGTGACTCTGAGGTTCAAAAGTAACTCGTATTTTTTAAAGTGATGAGTCTTGTGTCTCAGAGTAATTACCAGGACTCCCAATATTCTTAAACCTTTGACCACACCTACTCTTTGCCTAGTCCTTCTATTGCCAACGACCTAGTCTAGACTTCACCTACTCAGATGATGGAAATAAAGGGACTGTCACGAATGGACATCTGCTTTTGAACTTGGTGTCACGATGCCTATGGTAATGAAGCTGAAATTACTTTCCAGTTGTTTCATGCCCATTCTCCTCCTTCCTTATTATCCAAACTCCTTATTCTACTATGCTATTTTGATGTGAAGGCTAATTAGTCACTCAAACAATTCTTTATAAACGCTTGCTTAAGTCCTTCAAAATTCTTTTTGCAAGCTGACTGGGGACTGCAGACTTGGAAAGTGGCTAATGTAGCAGAGGTTAGTGTTTTGGGTGTTCACAGTCATTTGGCTGAAAGTTTAGTGGATAGGCATAATACATAGGAATGAGGGTAAGGACATGAGGAAAAGATCAGGAGCAAAAGGGGGAGTTGGGTTCTGGTTGTGGGGGTGCTATCTATACAGATGGTAGCACCGGGTGTTGGGAGGCCATCTGGGGACACTGCCTATATCCCAGGACTATAGGGCGTCCTTCCTGTTCTCTTAGTGGAGCATGTGGTTCTGGACAACCCTGTCTGGGCAGAACATACTCCCAGGAGCCTATAATCCAAACACATTTTGTTTCAACACAGTGGAAGCCATTCAGAGAGAAGTTTAGCTTTTAACTTCAGGATACACTAATCTGTGCATCTTGAAGGGGACAACTGGATTCTTGCCTTTGCTTTTGGTTTCCACATCCTGGCTACCCTGGCACAGTCACACATGCAAGTCTCATTTGTGAAGATGTCTTTGAAATGTATTCACTGAAGATAATTATAGAGGGCTAACACTTCTGCTCTTCAATTAATGCTATAAAATTAATGGTCCTTCATTTTTACATCCTATGCAAATGATGGTGTCATCTCCAACTGTAAGCCTCTCTACTCACACACTGAATATGATTAGTGTCCCTTTAAGCTGAATTAGAGCATGTGACCTTCTGGGGTAAGGCAGGAGTGAAACCGTTGTGCTATTTCCAAGCTTTCATTATGATATGTTCTTAAAAAGCAGAATTTCAGCATTGACACCAAAACTTGTTTCAGTGACTGATCTTTGGGGTTGTGACTTTAGGAGAGAGCGGAGAGGAACCGGAGGACAGCTCATAAATCTATGGCTTTCAGCCAGAGATTTACCAGCCATCACAATCAGCACACTCCCAAACAAAGGACAGAGAGATTCATGTAAGATAATGAGGCAGGTATAATGGGAATGCGATAGTATTCAAATACTATACCCATTAGAATATCCTTTTGCAAATAGACCCAGGGGAACACATGATCAGAGAGCAGACGTATTTTCTTGACAAGAAGTTCTGATAAGTACTTGAAAAATTGTTGGCTCAGTAGCTCAGAAAAGAAAAAAGTAAGATGTTATGCTTCTTTTACTTTAAGGTCTGGAGTGTCAGGAGCTCATGACTTTGCGTCTTGTGATGAGGACAGTGACATCTTGCAGGAATAACTGCATGCTCATATCTGTTCTATGAAGAGTATTTCAAGTGTAGGCAGCTTGGATGAGTTGAAAATATTGCATAACTCGAGTACCCTCACTCTCAGCGTCAATATCCCCACTCTACTTTGGAGAGTTTTTGTCAAATAATGAGATACCATCTGGTATTTGAGTCCTAGGCAGAGTGTGCAAGTTTAAGAGGGTTGGGGACTAAGGAAAGTGACAGAAGGGACATGAAGGAAGGAAAACATTAAGAACTTTGTCCATATCTTCTCAAGTGAGGAGAAAAAAAGAATTGTAAGCAGATTCAAGATACCCAAGCAGAATTGGGTCCCAGGTTGATGAATTCTGCAGCTGCTGGCAGCCTGGATAGCCGGGATTGATGGACATACTTCTAAAGCCAAGTTCAAAGAGAGTGTGTCCATTTATCCTTTGTGATCTGCTGAATCGGGTGAGATACAAATATTCAGAGGATTTTTTTTTTCTCTGTGGCAAAAAAAGAATTTTTTGGCTGCAAGCGTACTGATTGTGAATCAGAGGAAACTTGGAAATCTGAAGAGGTAGGATTAGACAGCGTGCCTGCAGTCTTAGGTCCGCCTGGTGGGTGATGAGAGTTGCATATGGGGAAGCTTCTGAGCTCTTGCACCAGGGAGGTTGCATTTCAGTGAAATAAAAATGACTCCTAGTGTGGGTAGCATGCTTTGTATCCCCCCCGTTGTCATTTGGTGGACAGCTGTGGTTGCACCAGGCAAGCATTTTTCCTGGTGTCTTTCTTCACCAGAAGAAGGGATTCAGAGAGATGGCCCCAGCGCACTATTATGGCTGTGTGGGATGAACATGGCAGCTGGATCAAAATAGGAGCTGATTTAAGCACTTCTAGTGAGGTAGAAAAAGTGATATTCACTAGAATTTCTCTTAAAAAGAGCCCAGGATATATTTAGATGATGAAATATTTTAGCAAGCCATTTGGGCTGGAGGGTGAGACTCAAGAGTATATTCAAACTAGAAAAGTTATTTTTATATGGCTTTGCATATGATATGGACAGGATTTGTCATAAACATTAGAGAGAAGAGAAAACAAAATAAAATGTGGAGGAGTGGTTGGGTGGATGGGAGTGAGTGAGGTAGACAGGAAGTACAAGGTAGTGTCCATCTTACATAAAGTGATGAAGTTCACGAAATGGATGTGAGTGGAAGATCCCTGAAAGAGCTGAGTTTCTTGCCTCTAGTTGAGGTGGGTGAACCAGGAGTAGCATCTGGGATTGTCAGCACCTGAGGAGAGGAGTCTTGGATGGGCTGATCCCAGAATCACAAGAACTTCGAACATTAATAGACTGTGGAAGTTTTGGGGTCCTCCCTGGTGGTGCAATAGGTTAAAGCACAGCACTGCAAGTCAACCGCAGCCCCTTCAGTGCGATTTCTATCCCAGCCTCGGAGGTGACCCACATGGCTGGCAGACCTCTCCTGACCCCCACTGCTCCCCTCAACAGTGTATTTCATCAATCTTCTATTCTGCTCCCCACTCTGATTCTGGTGAATCCTCTCACTGTCCCTCCGCCTCTGGCCTGCACCTCAGTTCTTATTTTTTTTAAGATTTATTTATTTAAATAAATAAATAAATCTTAAAAAAAATAGATTGTGGAAGTTTTCTTTTAATAGTTAATCTTGTTCTCCTAAATAGCTAACATCCAGGTTTCAATTGGATAAATCAAGGCAAACATCTAGAGATGCCTGTTACTAGTATGTTTGCATGAGACATGCAATTGAAAAGGAAATATAATATCTAACCTAACAACTACTCACAAAAAAGATGTTATTTAAATAAAAAACAGATGTAAGTTTCCATTTAGCAAGACTGACCACTTTCCAGGTAAATACCCACCACGGCATAACTGGCTATGTAATTCCACCCAGGCTCACTCCATCAGAGGCGGATGTTTATTTCTGGTATTAGGCCTCTTTCCAATTCATAGTAAACAACCTTATAGGATGTCCTAAATGATGTCATTTCTGAAAAGAAATAACAGTTTCTCAAAATAAATGGGCCAGTAACAACCCAAGGTAATAATGATCTTTTTAAGTCCCATTTTATATAATCAATTGTGAAAAAAAATTTTTTTTGAGACAACCAGGGAAATCTGAACTGGGGATAAAGAGATAGCAAGAAATTATTGTCAATTTTGTTAGGCATGAAAATGGCATTATAGCATTTATGTGAGAATGTGTTTATGTTTTAGAAAAGCATACTTGCATACTTAAATAACCATATTTGAGAGATGCAGGAGGGAAATGACACAATACTTGGGATTTGCCTAAATTACTTCAGTGAGAGAAAAAAAGAAGAAACAGGTGAAGCATGAAGATCAAAATATGACAATTACTGAATCTAAGGGATGGGCAAAATACGTTATTATACTATTGTCTTAGTGTTATAAATACCTGAACTTTTCCTTAGAAAATAGAAAAAACAGTTCACCAAATGAAACTGGACCCTTACAATATATCTCAAAGGAGTAAACCTTCCCTTCCAATTCTTCTTAATATTTAGGAGACAGACACACCCTACATTTAAAAAAAAGGGGGGAGGGGGAGTGGTGGTTTGAAAGTGCTATGGGCTAAACTGTGTGTCTCTCCAAAATTCATGTGACATTATTTGGAGATAGTAAATATACTCTAGGGTCATGGGTATAAATGAGGTCATAGGTGGGCCCATGGGAAGATGCTTGGATGCTGGGCTTTCAGAGGTGTGATTCAGTTAAACTGAGGCCATGAAGACGGGGTTCTAATCCTGTATCACTGGTGTCCTCACTGGAGGGAGAGACTGCTGGAGCAGGAGTGCACAGGAGACCGTCTGCAAGCTGAGAAGGGCCTGGGAGGACATTAAACCTGCGAGTACCTTGATTTTGGACTTCCAGCCTCCAGAACGATGAGAAAATAACATCTTTCATGAAGTTTCTCAGTCATCTTGTTACAGCAGCCTGCGCAAACTAATACATAAGGTATAGTAAGGACTTGGATAGATTGGCCGGCTTGAATGAATTTCAGGGTCTGCCCTCCTCCCCACAAGCATCTCGTTCCATTTAAAGAGCCTACCTTCTCTCTCCCCTTCCTTTCTTTGTTCTTGCTACAGTCTCTATCATCTTGCTAAAATTCTAGTCCTGAGGATCACAGGGAGAAAATCCATCACTTAACTTGAGAAAACTGGGAATCCTCTAGGCCACTCTGGTTTGTCTATCTTATCACTTCCTGACTTGTCTTCAACCACTCCAGACACACTGAACCTCAGGAAGAATGGAAATATGAAGGGACAATAATACAAAAACTACTCGAGGAATTACAATATAGTAGTAGCCTGTAATTCTACTTTTCATGTCTCCTAAAAGAGAAACACTGTCCCGATACTTAAAGCATTTATTATATTTTAACACAAAGCTCTTATTTCTCGTTCAGAGACTTACCGTGGCATTTATAATTACATTCTGTAGACAACAATGTTAAAAATTTGGGTTTTCATGCTAAAAGTGATTTTAAAAATATATAATTACCTATTAATTCTTCCAAAATGGTGTGATTTGCCTTTTTTTCTGTCATAACTCATTTGAAAAAGCCATTTTTTAAAAGAAATTCTGAAATAACACATGATTCCCTGGCCTTGGCATATCTAAACTCTGCAACACATAGTGATTTCTGCAGGCACATTAAGCTGAAGTCATAACAATGGGTAATATTTTAATATAATGGAAAATGATCATTAACTTTTCTCAACAGGAAGGAAATGAATTTTCCTCATTGTACACGTTGTTCGGAGAAAAGGGAGGGATTAGAAAATTTCAAAGGATGTTCTGCCCAACCAGGACAGGCTTCAAGTACCAACACAATAGCCTTATAAGTCTGGTGTCAGCAAACTGAACAAATAGAGCTTTTGAGGAAAAGAATGTGGTTCAATGTCTCTCAGAAATGTATGTAAATGAAGCTGAGAGTTTAGAGGGTGATTAATCCTGCACACTAGTGAAGTATCTATCCCAGGGGTGTTTCTTAGATCTCAGGTAAATCATTATCTTTATCACGTTCCTCTTCCCCACCTACTCAAAAGCGAATATCTTATTAAATCTCCATAAACCTTTTTCAACTTAAAATGGTGCTTAGTAATATTAAAAGTCTGCATTTATTACGTATTGTATATAAGTCACAAGAACTTCAAAATATTTTTGTAAGATACCTGGGCTATGGAGATGAATTGTTTTGCAGAAATCACTAATCTCGAATTTTCTCTTTGATACAGTTGTGATGTTGTGCTGGTCTCTTAAGTCAACACCCTCAATGATTCTTACCTTGCCCTCTTTCTTGTTACTTTAGTGTCCTTCTTACTGTTCTGTCTCCATATTCAAATACAAACAATTATCTAAACAGACCTAGACCTTAGGATTCTCCTCCAAACATTTACATATTACAGAAACTGAACAGGAACAGAGACGGGATTCACTAACTCAGTAATCAAACACCAGTTAAGAAAATGAAATGAAAGTAGATCTATTTTTTTCTCATTAAGATAAAGTTCCCAGACGATTCCATGTGTGTGTACACACACACACACACACACACACACACACACACACACACATATACAGCCACAGTGTTCCCGTGTCCTAGGATCTCACACTGTTGTTGTATTGGCTTGGGGCTGGTGCTTACTTTCCAGCTCTCACTTGAAGGGAATGGAGATCTGTGTTTGTGCCCGCTCCCCCACTGTCATAAACAGCTTCATCGGCTTCAAATCAGCTCACACCCACCTCCCAGTAAACTACTGGGGGTGGGGAGTGGGGGAGGAACACAGGGTCCCCAGTAACCTAAACACACCAGCTTTGTGCTCCTCTGCATCAACACCAGATCCCTCCCCACCTCACACTGGGCCATTCCGACCCTTGAAGACCCTTGCTAGTAGCTGGTAGGACTGTCTGCACCTTGCATCATTAATAAAAATAATAATAATAATAAAAAAAAAACCCTTTTCACGCCTCTCCAGGTTGTCATCACAGATCAACTTTTTGTCTTTTTGTCTGCCCCCCTTACACGGCCCCTCCCAGTCATCCTGTCTCCCAGCAAGCTCTGCGAAGGAATGTCTGCAGGGCAGGCTCCCACTGCCAGAGCTTTCACAATTCAGGCAAACCTGAAAGGCACCTGCCCTTCCTTTCACAGCCCCTCTGATGCTAGCTAGCTCCAGAGTGGAGGCAGTGGGGAAGGGCAGAAAGGTCTGAGGTAGATGGGGTGATAATGCCGGGTGAGCTTCCTTAAGCGGGGTGCCCACATCCGGCTATGGATCTTGACTGTCAGCAACCTTTGAGGGGCAGATAGGATTTTTATGATCTAAAGAGGAAAAAAATAACATTAAAGAATTCACGATCTTGCACATGGCAAAATATAAACAAAACAAAACAATACTCTCCCCCTTTTTTAAAAAAAAATGAAGGTGCCTTAAGAGTAGGGCCTCTTTGGTGGTGCAAGGGGTTGAGTCTCAGCGCTTTGAAGCTATCTGCAGCCACTGAAGCAACAATTCGATCCCTCCCAGGGAGGTCACCCACTGTTGGCCCATCACACCTCTCCTGTCTCACCCACTGCTCCCCTCAGCAGTGTGTTTCAGTCAATCCACCTGTTCTGCGTCCCACTATGTCTCTGGTGAATCCTCTTATCTCCCACATTTCTATGTGGGATACCTCTTCTATGTATAAATAAATAAGTTTTATTAAAAATGAAAGTACTGGCCCTCCCTGGTGGCACAGCGGGTTAAAGCACTGCACTAAGAAGCTTAAGCCACTTCCGCATGAGTTCGATACCTGCCTGCCCTGGAGGAGATCCACATGGCGTGGCAGACCTCTCCTGAACGGCTCGCTGCTCCCCTCAGCAGTGTACTACTTTGTCAATCTGCCTGTTCTGTACCCCACTCTGTCTCTGGTGAATCCTCTCACTCTCTGCATCTCTGGCCTGTACCCCAGTTCTGTATGAATAAATAAATAAATCTTTAAAAAAAAAAAGAAAGTACTTTTACAGACTGAATTTAGTCTTGAGAACTGATATTCCAATGGATTCTGTGTCAAGCTCAGAAAAGATATTTAATTCTATTTCCCACTCTCTCCATACCTATACCTCTTCCTCCCCTTCTTCATTAGGGACTTGAATTTTACACACACACACACACACACACACACACACACACACACACACACACAAAGACAAAATTGGGGTGGAGTTGGAGGGGATCCAGAAAGAATGGGAAGCAAATTAAAATATAAATATCTTCCTATCTTTTCCTCTTCATTTTACCTGACACATCGCTTGCACATTAAAAAAAGATTTGCGTTCTACACATCTCTGGATAACAGAGTCAATATGTGACAACAGGCCTTGTTGAATCTTGTCTATTATTTGTAGTAGTACTACCAGTCATAGTACACTAAATACAGAAAGATGCTGAGAAATAGCAAATGTTGAAAGGGAGACTGGGGCCCACAGCATCACTGGGTTGTAAGGGGAAGGAACGGATCTGCAGTAATCACTACAGGAAGGCAGAGAACCAGGCCTTGAAATACCTGGCATAATGGGCCATGTCTGTGCCCACTGTAGATGAGCAGGCGGAAGGACAAGGACAAAGCCAACATGTGGCTATTGATGCTCATCCATTCCACACCCCCGTTCGCAGTGCCTCCTGGCAGGCATCCACAGCGCCATATGCTTTGGGGAAGTGGGAATGCTGAATGTTGTGGTTATGGGGAATTGAGTCTTATTGCTTCATAAGATTCTGGGTGGCGGAATTGTTCTGAAAAAGAACATGTCCCAATACGTGTGCTGTGGGAGATTTAGAACAAGATGGGACTTCAGAGAGCCCTCTGACTGTCCTCTAAACACTTAATTATACAGGTGAGGAAATGGCAGTCCAGAGAGGCAAAGCAACTTGCCTAAGGTCACACAGGTGGTTCATACTCAGCTAGAGCATTGGCAGGATCTGGGGCTCCTGGTACCTAAGTCCTTTAGGGTTTACTGCTCTCATGCCTCCAGCTTCAAACTTCATCTTCTTGCGGTGAGCCCAAGAGTGTTGATACTGATGTCCCTTGTTTAAAGCCACTAAAGTAGCAAGAATCCTTCTGCTCTCCAAGCAATTAATACAAAAACACAAGGAAAAAAATATCACAAAGGAAAGAGTATGGGCTTTACATTCAAAATAAACTAGTTCTGTGAAGACGATGGCTTAAACTTTGAACCTCAGTTTCATGATCTGTAAACTGGGGATAATTATCACCATCATTATCATTCACATGCTACAGGGTGCTTGAGAAGATGACAGAGAATATGGGTTGAGAGTATCGAGCACAGAATCTGGTATGTACTAAGTACAAAGCTATTTTAGCAGAAAAAAAACACATTTTCTAAAATGCCACAGCAAGCCCTGAGCCTGAGAAGCTGGGCCAGCGAGACAGAGCCCTGGACTATTCCTGGCTCAGGAGAGAGCCCTGTCACGCCCAGGTCGCTTCAACTGCTCTTCCAGGCTCAGCAGTCAAATACTCAGAGGGAGTGTGATGGACATATGTATTGGAACCATCTTGTAATGAGATGACTTCCCCAAAACTATCCTAGAAAATCAGTCTCTGAAGAAGCATCTAAAGGAGAGAAAAGTAATAGTATTGTTACAGGGTAGCCCAGAATGAACTGGGCTACCTGTCTGTGGATCCTCACCCGGGCTTAAAGTTAAATTGTTCTGTAGGCACACAAAAAAAACGGTAATGGGTTTATTTACAAAAGGTGAAAGGAAAAGGAACAACCCAGGGAAAGAGAAAGAGTTACAAGGTAGCTAGAATATCTTACCAGCTCGCTGACTTTGAACTCTAGTCCCAACTAACTGATAGCCTCCAGTCACACAGTCTGAGAGCTGTTGCTCCAAAGAGAAAGAGCCTTTACCTCTCCAGAGCGACAGCTGAAAATTGTTCTCTATTTATCC